AAAACATTCATGTTCCCACAAACACATTCAGGTTGGTGGAGAATTTAGTAACACAGACTGTTATCTGTTGTTGGGATGGAAATAGAAAACTACAAATTCACACAGCTCCTCAACTCTGACCATATTTCAATAATAGATTCACTTTTATAACATTATAACACAAACACTTCAAAACAATTCTACAGGTTGATTTTTAATCTTCTTTTTGATTTCTCATGCTGTATATTAATAGAAACATTTTTTCAGCATTCAGTCGGACACATCTGGTATTTTTGGAAACTTTACAATCTGCACTCGAGTTGATCATAAACATGTGTTTCATTTCCTTTACTTCTACTTCACGATCTTTATTTAGAGGTTTTGGTTTTTAAACATAGACTCATTTAGATTTTGATAAAATATCTGTTTAGTTTCTTATTCAAAATATCAAATTGTTTTTCTGTTTGTCTTTCGAGTGTTGAAATGTATTTACTTTTGGTAATTCTGTCATTTACACCAAATAGGCAAGTTTATTTGTATAGCACAATTCGTACCTGAGATCATTCAAAGTGCTTCACACAAAGTGTAAGAAGACAGATAAAATCAGTCCACAGAACATAAACACAATTATTAATTAATTACATTAAAAAGCAAAGAGGCACATAAAATCAATCCATAAAAACATAAATATAATCATGAATTAGAAGAGAACAGATAAAATACCTTAAGTTGTCATATGCACAACTAAATAGAACTGTTTTCAGCCTGGATTTGAACATTGTCAGAGTTGAAGCCTGTCTCACATCTTCTGAAATCCAGTTCCAGATTAGAGCTGCATAAAACTGGAACGCAGCTTCACTGTGTTTAGTCCTGACTCTGGGCACCAGCAGGAGATCCTCCCTGAGGTTCTCCGAGCCCGAGATGGTTCATATGGCACTAACATGTCAGAGATGTACTTTGGTGCTGGACCATGAAGAGATTTGTACACAAGCAAAGCTGTTTTAAAGTCAATTCTCTGAGCGACAGGTAGCCAGTGCAGAGACTTGCACTGTAAAAAATAAATTAACATTTTTAACATTTTTAACTGTATCACTTGATCATATCCATTTGACACGTATTTTATTCTTCATATATTTCTATCATCTGAATTTTCTGCTGCAGTTACACAATATTTGAGTTTCCTGATCTGTCATTAATGTCTCTCATTCCAGCTGTCACATGTCAACATGTGTCCATAAAGAAGTGTCTGCATGATGCTGCAGCTGCAGTCAGGATTATCAGTGCTACACTGCTGCCCTCTAGTGGCTGCAAACACACACTGCATCCAGTCTTCTTCTACTGCTGATACAAGGACCAGACATTAATGTCTTTCATCATTCATTCATCTGATGGAGATCAAACTGCATGTTTAATAAACCAACAGTCAAACACTAGATGATATCCAACACTTTGTTTCAGGCTCTTTAGAAGTTTGGATTCTTCTCCATCAGCATCAGGAGGCGTCTGATGGTCCCACATTCTTCTGCAGCAGGACAACAAGCCCAAACATCCAGCCAGACTCATAAAGATCCATCTGCAGCCACAAGAAGAACCAGGAGTCCTGCAGCAGATGGTCTGAGCTCAAAGATCCTGATCTCAAAGATCCTGATCTCAGCATCATGGAGTCAGTCTGGGTCACATGAAGAGACACTGAGACACACTGAATCCACACAACTGTGACAAGTTCTCCAACATGCTGGACACACCTGACCTGCCACAGACCCAGGAGTCCAAGAATCTGAACAGCTGCAGAGGGACACAAAATGACCTGAAAGAGACACAAAATGACACAAAATGGTGGAAGACAGCCACAAATGGATGCAAGAGGCTCAAAACAAGCTCCAAACCAACAACTCAGAAGCATCTTGACTTTTTCCCACTTGCTCTAATATTGTGGACCAATAGCACTGAACCACGACCAGGCGGTGAGAGGCGCTAAAGCAGAGTTTATGTCTAACCTTGTCTCTGACAGCAGTTACAGGCCTCAGGTTCTCTTTTCTTCTGATTGAACTCTTCACTGTTTCACTTCATTCANTGTCTAACCTTGTCTCTGACAGCAGTTACAGGCCTCAGGTTCTCTTTTCTTCTGATTGAACTCTTCACTTCTGATCTCCTCCACTTTGATCTGAAGTGAATTTATCTCCACTGAGCCGTCTGGATGTCTTTGTACCTGCACTGACTCACCACAGGATGGTGTTCCTTCTCATTGCTTCTTGCTTTCAGCAACAGGCAGCAAAAATAAAGATAAAACATCTCCATCGCACAGCTTCAGTGTCGCTGCTTCATTGATTTAATATTTAATCACAAACTTAATTGAAAAGTTTCAGGAGATTTGATGTAGAAATGAAGGTGTAGCTGATATGGTGTTTTGTAGAATCTAATGTTGAAGTTGTGAGGTTTTACATTGAGAAGGACAGTTGTCAGTTTGAAATGAAACCATCTCAGAGCAGGTTTACTGTGTAACATGTGATGTGTTGGTGAAGGTCACTTGATCAGAAGTGACTGCAAACTGAAACACTGCACATCAAATGATGAACAGTGAGAACAAAATATTAACATTTAACAGTTTTGTCCCAGCATTCCTGTCTTGCATCATTTGCAGTAGCTTTTAACCGTCATACATTTTTCTATTCCTCATTGTTCTCCATTTAAACAATTTGTTGACTGAAGCAGCTGCAGACGATCGTTTCACTTTGTGCAGAAGAAGAGTCACATGACGTGTTAAACGTCTCCTTTAATGTTAACAGAGTCTGAAGCAGAAAGCCCGAGTTACAAAAAAAAGTTGAGAACCACCTTCATGATACCTGTCATCTCTGATTGGGACTTTAGTTTCTGTGGAGCCAAGTTACACAAAGACAGCCTGGATATGTCAAACTTGCTTCATGATACAGCACCTCAGCCTCACTGATTAAAGTTGACCTTTTGTTACTGTAATTTATCTGTCAGGTCCTCCACCTCCACTTCTGCTTAGTTGGCAGCTCTCCCTCTTCCTCCTTCCCTTTTCCCTCCACGTGGACACAAATGGATGTTTGTGGATGTTTGAGCGTCGCTCACCTGTCTCTGACTGCCTCCATCTACCATAAAACACTGGCTCAGTTTAGCGGCTATTTGAAGTCCTTTTAAATGCAGATACCATTTGTAGTGAACCTTTAGCATCATCAACAGTATAATCTGGTTGGTGCAATAGTATATGTAGGTGGAGTATCTGTCAAATCAGTTAACGTGTATTTAAACAGCCACATGAAACACAAGAACCTGGATACAAAGAACTGATGTCGTCCCACAACCACATGCAGATAAAACAAACGTTAAGAGACTAAATGAGATGAAGAGTGACAGAGAAAGTTCTNCAGGGAGCTCTTCCCCTCCAGGTGGGCTCTGGATGCTGCTGGGTACACGCTCACCACGGGCTTCACTACCTGCTCATCTGGAGGTGGACAGCAGCAGCAACAAGAAAGTTAGATGGTCACTTTATTTGTGCAATATTCTATAGTTAATACTTTTCATAAAATAATATAATTGGAGGTGAACAGCAGCAGCAAGCAGCATAAAAATACAAGTAAATAGATAGATAGATAGATAGATAGATAGATAGATAGATAGATAGATAGATAGATAGATAGATAGATAGATAGATAACATAATATAATATCATAATTACTAAAAAAACAGAATTTTATGTAATATTTGAATTTCTATCTGATATAAAACATTTACCTCCTACTACTTTCATTAAAGATGTGAAATTATATTTGACATCATATGAATTTCATATTTATATATCATTTATTAAAATAATGATCCATGCATGTTTAGATGATGTCTAATATGATATGAACATGAAATATAAAAACAAATTTATGCTTCTAAAGTGTTTCATTTTCATATTCAGTGTCTGTTTTTATCTGTGGATTCAAATATTTTAAATTAAAAGATGCATCATCATAGAACGAATAATCATAATTAATTTAATTTTAAACAAATAAACAATAAAGTTGTGCTTTCTGTTGCATGTTTTTATAAATAAATAAATATCAAATTATGATTTCACAAATACATGTAAATAAAATATCAACAACAATAAGATCTGTCTAATATGAACAAGGAATTATACATTATTTCAACCAAAATGTTGTCAGTTAAATGTGTTTATCTTACATGTAAATAATATTCATTAAAAATATCAATTATATTGACTCTATGTTCACATCTGTTTTATGTATTGACACATGATCAGTTAAAACTCGTCACCATACGAAAAATAATTATCAAGGACTAAACTGATAATATTAATTATTCTATACAATTCAGTGACATTTATCAAGAAATAATATCAAATATATATCTAATATCTGTATAATAATAAATTCTGTGTAACATCAGTTTTCTTCTTCTGTTCAGAGACCAAGAGATGCCACAGAATCAAACTCTGAATAAATAAAAACACAAAATAACTCTAACATCACTAATATTTGCAGAAATAAAGAATAACTTTAGTTGTTCAGTGAGATTTCAACATGTTTTCACACATTATTGAGCTTTTCTTATGTAACAGTGGCTGCAGATGAATCCTCCAC